CACAGACAGGGTAAAGCTTCGACCAATCAGGTAAGATATCACAGACGGGGTAAGGCTTCGACCAATCAGGTAAGATATCAGAGACACGGTAAGGCTTCGACCAATCAGGTAAGATATCACAGACAGGGTAAGGCTTTGATCAATCAGGTAAGATATCACAGACAGGGTAAGGCTTCGACCTATCAGGTAAGATATCACACACAGGGTTAGGCCTCGACCAATCAGGTAAGATATCACAAGCAGGGAAAAACTTCAACCAATCAGGTAAGGTATCACAGACAGGGTAAGGCTTCGACCAATCAGGTGAGGTATCACAGGCAGGGTAAGGCCTCCACCAATTTAGGTGAGGAATCACAGGCAGGGTAAGGCTTCAACCAATCAGGTGAGGTATCACAGGCAGGGAAAGGCTTCAACCAATCAGGTGAGGTATCACAGGCAGGGTAAAGCCTCAACCGATTTAGGTGTGGTATCACAGGCAGTGTAAGGCTTCAACCAATCAGGTGATGTATCACAGGTAGAGTAAGGCCTCCACCAATTTAGGTGAGGTATCACAGGCAGGGTAAGGCTTCAACCAATCAAGTGAGGTATCACAGGCAGGGTAAGGCCTCCATCAATTTAGGTGAGGTATCACAGGCAGGTTAAGGCCTCCACCGATTTAGGTGAGGTATCTCAGGCAGGTTAAGGCCTCCATCGATTTAGGTGTGGTATCACAGGCAGGGTAAGGTTGCAACCAATCAAGTGAGGTATCTCAGGCAGGTTAAGGCCTCCATCGATTTCGGTGTGGTATCACAGGCAGGGTAAGGCTTCAACCAATCAGGTGAGGTATCACAGGCAGGGTAAGGCTTACACCGATCAGGCGAGGTAAAACAGGCAGGATATTGTCACAGGCAGGGTAATATTTCAACCAATCAAGTGTGGCACACAGGCAGACTAGTAATGCTTCAACCAATCAGTTGTGGTATCACAGGTAGAGAAAGGCTTCGACCAATAACGTGACGTATCATATGGACCATATGGCTTCCATCAAGTATAGGTGGCGGGTTCCTAGTGTCATTCTTTTAGTGCTTTGATTTCCATATTTTCTTTTCATATCGATTTCCTATATTTACAATTTACGTTAGTACAATGTATATGTTGGCGTATTTATAAACTGGAAACGAAATTTAAGTTAAGGGAAATTTCGAAAACACATTGTCTGGCTTTCTGACAGTAGGTGCTGATTTCAGGTTAGTGACCCATTCTACGGAAATCATTTCCTGAATAAATACAGGTTTAGCATGATAACTCATGGATGAAAAGGAACCCATTTGATTCAGAATGAATCAGTTTGAAGTTAAAGTTGATTGTAAAGAGTTTAACATCCTATCGGAAGCTAAGGTTATTTAAGGAGGGAATATTTCCATTTAGGACATTGGTACTTAACAGAACGATTGCACATAGGTTGAGTAAGAACCCTTCTTATATTGTGGGGTCAAACAGTCAAAGGTCAAGGTCACAGTGATCTGTTGTTTGGAAATCGTTTCTGGATTGTATGTAAATATATCTTTGACCACCTAAGAGCTTTCAATTCACAGCATTGCTATTCGTGGAGTCAGAAGAACGCTTACTCAGGGTCCAATGATTACCTCCAATCTCCAAATAGAGTACATTACATACGTATATTTCTATTTCGGACCATGACAATACACAAGGTGATAACCCATGCCCAGAAGTTCAGGAGGAAACCTGTCGATATTGGAGTCAAACCATCATTCAAAAATTGTTACAAACTTCCTGGGTATATATTTCTACCTAGAAACCTTGTCATTTTACAGAGTAACTAACAATGTGTTTTTGAGGAAACCTTTGAATTTGGGGGGTTAGAAGGTCAAAAGTCAAGGTCATGGTTTTATACATAACATGTAACACATTCTACAAATTCATCTGCTACATATTAGTTAGTCAGAAGTCTATATTCCTATCTTTTCCTACTTTAATCCATCAGGTAAGGGGTCAAAATGTGGGTATGACCAATTAGATGAGATATAATAAATTCATACACAATCACATGTGATGTCAGAATGCAGGCCATCAGACTTTTACCAGTAAATAATAAATCAAACTCACAAGGTTTCATTAATGTTTTTTATTAAATTTTTGTTCATGTTTTAAGAGAATTTTTTCCATCCTTTAGTAAGCACTGAGAGTAAGATATTCCAGTATAAATGGTTTAGTGTCCAAGTTGTAGTATATATATAAATATCCTACCACAGCTGTCTGAGCAGCATTAGAAACGACATCATCAAAGACGATCTACCACAATACTTACAAAACTTCTATAAGCTCGCAAAACATCTATAACATCCATGCACCAATAGTGCGTAACTATAGTTAAAACAAAAATATAATACATGTACAAATTGAATATTATCAAAATACAAATTTAACAGGTGGAAAATTGCACACCGTTTTGAGGACACACAACCTTGTATCCTCAATCGTATATATTTCATGTGATTAAGAGTTCCCTTCTACCAAGTAACGCATTGTAACAGAATGTTGTTAGTTCTACACTATTGTAATGGGAATGAGGGCTGTGGTGTAGGTTCTATACATATCTACACCTCTCAGACTTGACTCAAGGTGAGAGTTCTAGAACAATTACGGTTCTACTTAGTATCTAGTACTTCATACTGTACCAGTAACACTGTAATGTGTGGACAGCAAGTACACACTACAAAAATGTACTAAGTATCTACTGTATACTGTACCTACCAGTAACATTAAAGGTGTGGACAGTAGAACGATTGCAGTACTATAGCTACTTAGTAACTACTGTGTAATATTCCGATAACATTGTAATGTGTCAACAGTAGAACAATTACGGTACTTCTTAGTTTCTACTGTGTAATATACCGGTAACATTGTAAGGTATGACAGTAGAACAATTCAGTACTACTTTGTATCTCCATTATACTGTACCAATAACATTGTAAGGTATGACAGTAGAACAATTACGGTACTACTTTGTATCTCCATTATACTGTACCAATAACATTGAAATGTGTCAACAGTAGAACAATTACGGTACTTCTTAGTTTCTACTGTGTAATATACCGGTAACATTGTAAAGTATGACAGTAGAACAAATACGGTACTACTTATTAGCTACTGTTTACTATACCTGTAAACAATTGAGTCAAGGGCTGTGTTAAACATTGTAAAGTACAGAATTGTAGGTACACTGAACATCTATACCTCAATGTTGAAGCTTTAAGTTTAGAGAGGATAGTACCTACTATATATATTAGGGAGAACCCCAGGACGTGGTAAGTATATGAATGACTAGTACACATATTAAAACAGAAAGGATAAACATCACAATATATATAAGTATTCTTTGAGTCCAATGAGGGTTCCAATGTATTTGTCGTCATGACAACATCTCATTTTGTTGTATCAACGTTAACATCCTTTGTGTGTTTGGAAGACATGGGGACAAGTTCTAGTTTACAAAGGTCCTCGGGAGCTTGTGCTCAAGGACATTGCAAGGTTAAAAGAATAATTAACATAAACAGAGCTACCGACTCGTCAATGATGATGACAAGTGTTGCCAGCTTTTAAGAAAAATTGGAAGTTGAATTACAAATAATAAATGCACTATAACAAGTAGCTGCAAAAATCTTCCGTATTGGGTTGTGTTACACATTGCTTTACAGGTTTTTTCTTTGTTGGATTGTAAAAATGACATGAAAGTGATCCTACAGAGAGAGGTAGGTCTACGAAAGCTGGGTCCTACCATATCACAGCTCTTGTCGTGAGAGTATTATAGTTCTCGTGTGAGTATGTTTGTGGTTCGAAAGTGGCATAAAAGTTAAGTTTCCGAATCAACATTTAGCCAAATAAATGATTTCACAGATGTCATCATCTTATCAATGTCAACGGGAATAAGGTTATTCCTGAACACAGATCTAGGGCAGTGATAATACAAACATAAAACAAATGAAAATTACGAGGAAATAATTATGTAGATAAGGCTATTTTTAAGGGTGTGATCTTTACTGTGAATTTCATCAAAAGTTTCATAGAAAAGTTATTTTCCAAATTCAACAGGACATCTAGCATTTTTTATCAAGTTAACATTTAAAACTTTGCAAATCAGTATGTTTTCAAATCAATGCGAATTTACAAGATGTAGCTCTTTGTGAAACTGAAAACTGCATAAAATCATCACTGCTTGAAATCAGAGCTGTACACATCAATGACTTCAAAGTAGAGTATGGTGAAGATCTGACACATTCAAACAGATATTATGTCCTTTGGATGTTCATCACCTCCGACTTAAAGAAACGTTTTAACCCCCAATTCCAAATAAGTATCATTTTCTTCATAATATAAAGCGCTAGAAGGGAACAAAAGTTTGAACTTTGAACCCAAACTAACTTCCTAGTGAAACACACCTGAAGAGTTGCATTGTGGGTTACGGATGGGTGACAAAGGTAGCGACATATTTAACTATACTGAGGTGTTAAACATCAATATATGTTATAATGGTTAGAGATACAATGAGTTTGTAAAAATGAAGATATATGTGAAATGATTGTCAACAACGATTACACCAATTATTAATATCAGTGAAAATGAGCAAGACATAAGCAAATATATAATATATAAAATAAATCGAAGGATGCCCTTTTCCTTACACACATTTCTAAACAAAACAGAGATTCCCAAATCTACAAAAATTCTCCAATGCTAGACCCTTGGAAACAGAAATTCCCAAATCCCAGGTACGTTCCTATGGTAACCTGAAAATCTATCCCACAGGAAACAGAAAAGATAAAAAATGTAGCCTAATTGTACAAACATATTAGTCGTAGAAGAAAAGGAGATTTCTGATCAATACAAAAAACATATTTTCAGAAATATTTCTACAAAAAAGAGATATTCCCTGGCCCTGTATACCTTTTCTCCTTAACTTAAGTAATACATTCCCTATTTGAAAATTTAAGTTAAGAAAATAAAATTATCAAAAAATGCTTTGTAAAACCTAAGCAAAATTCTGACCACATTCCCGTGAAAAGAAGATTTTCTTATCCTACACACAGAAATGAGGAAAGTTATCCTAAATTTGGAGAAATGTGAAACTAAAACACAGCCTTACTCATATTTGCTGGTTTTATATTTTATTACCAATAAATGTCAGTTTATTTCATTCTGAGCAGGAGCGATATTTCCGGCCTGTCTGTGATAAGGATGGTAACCCACATGCGTCTGAAGATACCCTACTAAAATATGTTCACGTTATATCATATTGGTTTAGATTTCATGTTGACAGGTCACATAAAAACAAAACACTTTTCATTCACATTTTAAAAGTGTGATAACTACCTTAATGTAATAACTTCATATCAAAAGGACGTAAGAGGAAATGACATGCAGAATGACTGCCAAATATCATAACATCATTAGAAATATAATTTATTTTAACTTCCAAAATATTATTGGACAAAATCTGATCAAGTTTTTATTTTTCATAACATTGTCAAATACTTATCTTTGAGATAAGCTTGATGTTCAGAGAATTAAAAAACAAAACAATTTGATTTGGTTTTCTGAAATAAATAGAACACTTATATTATTGAACTTATTTTTCAAATGAACTTGTATATATATAAAAAGAAGCTTTGCCCCCAGGGATGGTAACATGATGGGTGTCTGTGTGTACCCTGTAAGATCACAGGGGTGTTTGGTTCAGGCAAATAAAAGGTTTCATTAATTTGGGTAGGGAGATAAATCGTGGCTATAACATTTTTACATTATATATGAAACAATTAAATTTGTACATACATACATACTACTACGTTGCTCTTTAGTGAGATTCCTCATTGCACACAATAAGATAAGGTCACATTTCATTCTCACATCACAGTCATACACCTCTAAACTCTAATTCACACCCGACCCTCACTCCGACCTTAATAACCTTATTCAATGTCAAGGTCATTACTTTGACCCGAATGTCCAACATTGTCAAGTTTACCAATCTGTCCTTATATCACACATCATATTGTAGCAGCCATCTTGATTCAAGATATTGCACCACTCCAAATTGTTCTGAACCCTGGTGACCATGGTAACCCTGTCTGTTGAAAACTTCACCAGGACGACCAGAACATCACTATGGCAAGTTTCATTTGTAAAATGATTTTTGATTGGTTAACTGCTCTGTTATGTATGCATCAGGCAACCAATGAAATTCCATGTTCTATATGCCCACTTTATTACTGGCTAATGACTGGCCAGTTTCTGATGAAATCCTTGATGTGTATAGTCTGATATAAATGAATTGTTCACAGCCTCCTGGGTTGATGTGCAAACAGAACTCCTTGATACATGATTCCGTTAATTTCCATGCTCACCACAAGTGAATTGTCTATTTCTGTTCTACCATCATCTGCAAATACAAAAAAATAAATAATTAATTCTATATAAATCAATTTTGAAAAGGACAGTGACAGGAAATGAAAGTGATTGATACAGTTGTAAAGGAGGATGGAGGAGCTGGCCACCACACTAAGTGATCCTTCCTTATCTTAGGACTGCAGAGTCAATCTCGAGACAGAGGAGGAATCCTATAAATTGTGCATTGTACCGGTATTTCCATAGAATCCTATAAATTGTGCATTGTATTTCTATAGAATCCTTTAAATTGTGTTTTGTATTTCTATAGAATCCTATAAATTGTGTTTTGTATTGCTATAGAATCCTATAAATTGTGTATTGTATTTCCATAGAATCCTATGATTTGTGTATTGTATCCCCATAGAATCCTTTAAATTGTGTATTGTATCCTAATAGAATCCTTTAAATTGTGTATTATATTTCTATAGAACCCTATGCATTGTGTATTGTATTTCCTTAGAATCCTATAAATTGTGTTTTGTATTTCTATAGAATCCTAAAAATTGTGTTTTGTATTTCTATAGAATCCTATAAATTGTGTATTGTATTTCTATAGATTCCTATAAATTGTGTATTGTATTGCTATAGAATCCTATAAATCCTATAAATTGTGTATTGCATTTCTATATTATTCCAGGGAATAATAAAACAATACTTACTTAATACATTAAAAAATAACACTATATGTGTGGTTGGATGATTTGATTTGGGAAGTCAGCGTTGAGTAGAACAGATCACGTTATAACACAAGATAACCTGGTATGTTGTAGAATGTACTCTTTAGGGTGCTGTCAAGGCCACAGATTTAATCACAGGTAAAGACATTTCTAGATACTGCAGGTGTTTGGAATACATTAACAAATAAGTCACTTTTATAAAATATATCCCCAGGATAAACACTCATTAACACTGTTGATGACATGTTGGTGTGTCCCTAGGCACTTCAATGAACTACATCTAGAAGCACAAAACCTAAAATTATATACATATATGGACCTTCATCTGATGTTATCTGTGGCCATTTCATCAAAACAGTTCTCCATATATATAATGCCATTTTGTAACATATTTTAGCATTTGTAATATTTCGTAAAATCCTTAGGAGTTATAACATTTTAATTCTGAAAAAATATAGCCGTTGGCATACATACACACAGTATACTGATGAATCTACAATGCCGATTGTACCAGCATACTTTTCACTTTTCTTGTGATAAAAATCAAATTTATTTATAGTGTGCCTGCAAATAGGAAATTTTAAAAGGAGGAATTTAATTGAAATAGAACTTGTTTTGTCTGGTGTCATTAAATAGAGTAACATCAATCGCCATCACCCCCTGCAGAACCATTTTGATAAGGTTGTATCCCTACAGGATGTAAGCAAGATTTTCTAATAAAAAAGTACCTTTTTACCCACATATCATTTGGCACAGGTTGTCACTAGATCTTCCACATGATGCAATCTCAGAAATAAATCAGAAGGTACCATGTGAATTGCACGTACCTATGTTAATATTCCTGTTACGATTAAACACCGATCCTGTTGACACCCTCCAGATGATGTCCGATCACTTTCACAGATTCAAGTAAAAAACCGATAATGCCCTCGACAAACTAATTTATACATCTGATTGTACCACTGTGCAACTCTTGTCAGGTACAGGTTGGAGCATGAAAATGGTTAATTTTAATAGATCAGATATTCTAACACCTATTTATCAGAGATAGAACCCTGTATATCAATAGCACTTTCAGACAGCTGAATTTTTGTTAAAGTCACAAGTCTTGGCAGGAAATCTTATAAATGTTTCCCAGCGCAAATAACCAATACATCTATGAATATTTATGAAATAATACTTTATGATTATCACATGTTAAGATCATTATATCGAGATTTAATGACTCTATATCATGTTAATGTAGTCTAATAAAAGCTGAATTCTTATAAATATGTAAAAAAAATATCTTTGAACTTACAGACAACCGATGATTTTATTTTTTCTTTATCTCTCAAGGGATTACATGTATTTGATAATGTTTTAATTACTTGCCTTTTTAACAGGTTTCATCAAATTATATTGAAAAAGAATATCACGTATAAGGTGTAGCATCCGAAACACATTGCAGATATTTAATTGATTCATATCATGAAATTTTATCAAAACAAATGCTAATTTACAAGCTTTGTGCATAAGTCAACACCGGTACCTTTGATGAAAACTGCAGCCCATCTATAAAATGTTCTGATCCTTTTGACGCAACTACTTCATCAAAAACAACTTACTCAAGTGAGTCAATTTTTTATAATTCTGTAATTTCTTTTTAAACCCAGTATAGAAATCACAACAAGTCTATCTACCGCGAGTCTCAAAATCTTCCTTTAAAGTATTTAAATAATCTCCAGGTAAATATATAAACCATTTGTGTTCAAAATTAATATTGAGATAAACTTATTATGAAGTGTACACATCTGATATTCAGCGACACCTGTACAAAAAAACCTAGGTGAGCTGTCGTGATCGTAAGCCAATAAACTGTTCTTTGCACATTAAAGAACGTCATATAACTATTAGAAGATTGCATTTGATCAGAATGAGCAACAAAATTGTATAAGAAGAATTTGATTTGATTGTATGTCGCCATGGGAGACACTATTTAGCGTGATATAAAAGCAGTGTATATTCATCTAAGTCAGCAAGCATACAAATTCCATCACTCTTGTTTTTTGAAGTTAGTGTAATATCATTTGTGTGATTTTAATAAAAACCATTAATTCACGTATATTACCCGAAAAACCTTGTCAGAAGTCGTAAAGGGGCAGACACATCAAGCTAGTGAGTCCCTCAGATCTCAACGAACATTTGTGAGTGTTATCTGTGCAGACAAACATGTCTTATCAAAGGAGGGGAATTTCAAGGTCCATTTTGTCCGTTTAGCACCCGTGTGGTCATAGAAAACAGTCGGCTATTCCTCCCTCCCACAGTCCCACCCTCCGAAGGTAAGTAAAGAAAGTGATATCTTATGAATTAACTGGCTCTTTGGTGGATTCGATATTTAAAGGAGTGTCTCGGGAATGAATAGGGTTCACGCTGAATATAAATGTTCAGTTGAGAAGTCCGATAGCTATTTAATGTAAATATGAGGTGTTTTGTATCAAGAGATCTACCTCCATCAATTGGTTCCATCAGATAGGGCAGCTTTATCCAGGTAAAATTTGTCGTGTTCGACACACCTCAGGGCTTTTGTTTGGGAACATTAAATGACAAACTGTCAGTGCGGTGATGTCTCAATACGGGGTAGTCTCAAAAGGGAGGGGATATATAGGAGTCTTTTACCTGTGTATAGACTTAACTAGGCATGCAATAATGGCCTTTATATGCCACTTATATGACAGAAAGGTCCGCAGTGTGCCGGAAAGGGGGGGGGGATGATAAAAGTCTGCGGTGGACTGAGAGGGGGGAGGGGTGATAGAAGTTTGCAGTGGACCGAGAGGGGTGAGGGTCTGCAGTGGACCAAGAGGGGTGAGGGTGAGGGGTGATAGAAGTCTGCAGTGGACTGAGAGCGGTGACGGGTGATAGATGATAGAAGTTTGCAGTGGACCAAGGGGAGGGACAGGCATAAATTTAGACTGATATTAATACTAAATTAGGTCATTGTATAGAAGTGCCATTGTATATAGAGGTCATTGAATGTGCCAATGTGTGGATGTGTCATTATATAGAGGTGCTATTGTATAGAGAATTCACTGTTTAGAAGTATCATTGTATAGGAGTCACTGGTATAGAGGTATTGTTGCATAAAGGTATTGTTGTATAGAGGTGTCGCTGTATAGAGGTGTCACTGTATAGAGGTATCATATAGAATAGAGTGGTCAGTATATAGATACATTAAGTAGACTACTTACTTCTGCTTGTGATCTTTATATGTGTGCTTGGCATATTGTTATGTGAGATTATCCGTTCTTCTTCTGATGTCATCAACCTTTTTCTTGGTGGTTCCTCTACGAGAGCTGCAGCACGTGATGCCTCTTCCATTTTACGTGTAGCGTGTTCCATGACCCGTGATGCAGCCTCCATGGCGATTGCGTCGCGTTCTGTAAGGTGATGCTCTGTCAGAGTGCGGTGGTGGTGGGTTGAGGTGGGAGGCATACTTTCCTCTTCACTACCTGTTTGTGACAAGGAAGTTTGTATAATAATATTGTATAGGATACTGTTTAACAGGTTTAAGTTGTTACAGAATTCTTATTTAGTTCTGATGTGTCACATGTTACAAATGATAGAATTGTTTCGTAGGTTCGATGACTTATGTGTTATAAAATATAGAATTGTTACCTAGTTCTGATGTCACATGTGTTATAAATTATAGAATTGTTACCTAGTTCTGATGTCACATGTGTAATAAATTATAGTTCTGATGTCACATGTGTAATAAATTATAGAATTGTTACACCTAGTTCTGATTTCACATGTGTAATAAATTATAGAATTGTTACTCCTAGTTCTGATGTCACATGTGTAATAAATTATAGAATTTTTACACCTAGTTCTGATGTCACATGTGTAATAAATTCTAGAATTGTTACACCTAGTTCTGATGTCACATGTGTAATAAATTATAGAATTGTTACACCTAGTTCTGATGTCACATGAGTAATAAATTATAGAATTGTAACTTTAATACCTCATAAAAATCAATATTTAGCTACATGTAATAATAAAATTGTCACCAAGTTCAAAAAAATAGTATCACATACATAATGAATTATAGAACTGTCTTCGGAGTAAAAAGAGGTCTATATATGTGCATGATAAATCAAAGAATTCTTTTCATGTTTAAAAAAATTAAGAAATCATAATCATACATATAATTGCCCAATTTAATGTACAACACTGGAAAAACTTAATAGTTAATTAAATAATTTTGCATTTTACCTACAATTTCAGCATAATAGGATGCAATTGAAAAGGTGATTTTTGATAATGAATTTAAAAAGAAAATTTATAAGACACATTTTATAATCAGCTGCAAAATCGATAGACTGTCTGTGATTTAAATCTGCACAGGAATTGAGGAATAGAGATTAATAACATCAAAACGATGTCAGTTTATTTCGTAAATATAATTAAGTTTAGAACTAGGTGTGTATGGGTACAAATGACAGCTTGCTATTATTAGTCTTACATAAGGAACCTAATCGTCATTTTTCTAAAAAGTTCACTGGGTTAATATCAATTTCACATCCGGAAAATCAGGTCTATAAGTACATCAGGTATACAAGTTTAACTCGATAATGTTGAATTCCTTACATCACTAAAGGGAAAAAGTAGTGATTAATTTGAGGGATGGGAGTCGGGTGTACCAGTCTGACTACATAACCAGCCAAGTGTGACACAATGTTAAATCAACCATGCTGACAAGTTACTACTTCTCAAGCCAAATCACTGGCTTCATCCACTCAAACTACCATTTATGTTTCAATTACTATTTTATATTCCACTGCTGTCCCCATTCAAAACAATTACATTATAATTTGAAAATTATTTCAAAGTGATATTGGTATTGGTATCATTAAATAAACAAATTAGAACCTGAAATGTGATAGTGGGGAGAGAGATCGGGAGTTGGCCCTCCTCGTTCTAGCTGTCTGTGTAACTCCCGTGGTTATAAAATCCATAGCCTTTTCTGTTAAAGCATAATGCTCTAAATATTTAGACAAATAAATAGCATAGAGGAGTATCTATTTCACCCGATATTGAAATCTGAATCTCGAGGTTCCTCGAGTGAGCAGCTATGATGGGTTCTAAAGAGGAGCCCCTATTGGTATTCTGTGATCCCAAACCGGGTCAATTGGGGGGTACATTTCATCTGCTCCCTCCCCTCCAGACTCACTGTCCCTCCCTCAGTAACTGGCTCTACAATTAACGATCTCATGTTTTTTTACACATCTCCAGATCACAGTCAAAAATCAAACCTATTTTCTCCAATTCACCGCACTAAATGATTGGGGAATCGATCTACGGAGTGGCTGTAACGTCCCGCGCCGTGACTGCTCAATAACACAGCTATTATACTCCCGGTAGGGTTTGTTTGGCAGCAGCCTAATTGAGAGTGTTAAATGTATGAAGCTATTAAATTAAAGGTCTAAAAATCATTTTCCTGCTTATAGCCAGCCATCATATTATTTTAACAATCCATTGCAGAGATTTATTTAGCGTATTATGTGGGGTCTCATTACTCGTCATCTAATCCCTTGACACGTGATCCGGGATCCAGAAATACCAGGTGACTGGGCAAAGCCTATGATTTGATACGTTTTTATGACAAAGCATTGGACAGCATAAATAAGATGAAAACGGAGATAACTTCCGCGAGTCGAATGAGCGATTACCTCTTATCATGCGAAATTCAAATTCACACAACTGATATATCCGTTAGATTTTTAACACAGGAACAACTGATATCAAAAGTACAGTATTACTGATTTGATCCCGAACAGAAATTAAATAACTATTAGTTTAAAAAAAATATCCCATTAAACAATCTACATTGGTTTAACCATTAATAACGTAATTATGTTTATTTTTGTGACTGTAAACAGGAGATTCGATTGCGGTGAGTTAGGTGCGACGATAACTCGCCTCGACTCATTCCTCACCCAAGACACCCTCACTTAGATTTAATAGATGAATCAAAAAGATTACCATCTCATATCCATTTTTTATAAATTTCGATGTACGAGGGAGCTCCATGGCCATGGCAGGATAGATTCAAACATATTATCTCTGACAAAAACCATTCATATCATGTGACTATTTACCACCGATACTTGTGTATTAAACTGGTCGTATAAAGATGTACAGTCCTCCATTTAAAAAATAATGATAATAATGATTTGTGACACAAGTATTTAACGTGTACTTTGGTAACAAACCGATAATAACTACTCAAGATCTAATAACTTTTTTTAATATGAAAGTATAGTATTCATTTTTTAGAAGGTAATTCCATTTTTTCCCCTCTTGTTATAGAAATATTGAGATAAATTTTAATTAATGTTTGCAGTGATTAGTTTTGCTCAGTTTTACTCCGTAATACAGTCTCTTTCCCCTAACTAAAACATGCCTTGTTCCCCACAAATGACCAAAAACTGAGGAATATGTTTCCAATTTCAATACATTTAATGCTATTTTCCCCCCATTTATTAAGGAACAGGCTGTTGTAAAATTAAGGCAACAAAAACATTGGTTTGTGTGTTAAATTGAACACAAATTTTATCTCCAAGGGAAACTAAATTATCAATATATATAACCCTGATCGAGAAAACTTTTTTCTGAAGCTTTGATTTACTCTTTCACCACTGTAGACCATAATGAACTCATCCAGATCAATGCATGGTTGAGTTTATTAAAGTTAAATGGGAGTGAAACGGTTAGTGACATGAAATAACAACAAAAAAAAGCCTGAGAAAGAAATGAAGATGTGGCGTGGTCCTACTTACAGAGTTGGTGTGCCTGTAGTTGCCACAGTTTCTGTAAGCTTGTCAGTGGTGATCTACGGTCTGCATTGGAAAAAAATCCAGCTTTCAAAATGAAATTTATATTCAAATCAGAATGGTATCATAAAGAACTAGTCTTGATGCTATATAACTGACCTTTACAATTTATTACTGAATTATCACTGTACGCTTTTACATCACAAACATATTATGTCAGATACTGCTAACAAAAGACATTTTAATGATTAATTTAATCAAATCTGATTTTTTTGCGAAATCATGATTTTTTTTGCGAATGACATATTTGAAAACTTTAACGTCAGATCCAAGTGTTTAAACTGTGAGAATAAAAATGTACAAACCTGATGTGCTGCCTCCAAATTTACCATTAAGTAGATTTCCGTTCAGGTGTGGGTGATGGGCTGTTGGGATCAGGGTTGGTCCAGGTGAAAGGTCATAGCCATAACTTGACCTACGACCTTCACGTCTATTTCCATCAATTGCAGCTTGAAGCTCCTGTGGAGAGCTCAATTTGAGCTTCTCACATTCGTAAGGATACAGGTATTTCATGTATCTGTAAATGCAAAAAGTTTAGTATTTGTTTTCAAATATTCGGTATTCCATGTATATTTTAATACAAATAATTGAGTATTTTCAAATATTAACTACCAAGAAATGTTTTTTTAAAAACATCTTTGAAAAACAATCTTACTGAATCAAGAAATTATTTAAATACAAAATTTTGATAATGAAAAATGAATAATTTTATTTTAAATCTTATAATTACAAGAACATAAGTAAGTTCTTACTGAGTTCTGAGAGTGAAAGCCGCACTAGTAATGGACGAGGGGAGATTTAAACCCTTTGTAATTTCCCTCCAAAGTTTCTTATTAATGACTTCCACCAAGCCTCCTTTTGATACAACCAATCGGAAGAGCTCATACAAGTCAAGTGTCTGTTTTGCCATGATGGGGATTCTGTTCACTGGGGTTCCTGGAATACATGAAAAAACGAAAATTGTTATTCAAATACAACAGAAAGAGAATTTATTGAAGTTTTATGTTGCTATTCTATATATTTGTATATTTATGTGCATATGATACTCGCTTCTTTGTGCATAAAAAGCTGTTCAAACTAAAAGCAAACAAAAATCATACAGATCTCTTTTTGATGTAATTTTAAAGGATTTGAATATTTTATAGGAGCAGAATTTCTTTGTGATACAATTTTGCTGTTAATTTGTAATTAATTTCACACTAGTGAATCTACAATCTTTCATTTCGTATCATCAATGCCGGAGCTATGATATCGTTTAGGACTGTTTCACAGCATTTATAAGCAGTGTCAGTTTGCAAAACGATTTCATCAAGAAGAATAAAATTTCATTCAAAGGAACTGGCTGTTTGGGGGTCATTGTTGTGTATTAATCTTGATGGGGAAGCTGCCTTAATCAAATGTAATGCCGAGTCACATATCAAGATCTAATTGTAAATGACATGGGGGAAATTTTTCCATTTTCATTTTTATTATCTGAGTCATTGATTTTTCAATCATAACAAGATTTTGTGTTCTAAAACACATAACATTGATATCAGTGACATCACTCATCATCAGTTTCAGCAGGGTCTAAAAAACAACACAGTCTTTTCATTTCATCTTGTTTCCATGTAGGTTTATTAAATCAATAAACCGTCTCCTATTGTAATTATCCGTAGATATCACCATCCCCTCAAAAACACACATAAAACTGCTCCAGCATCTCCGTATAAGATACAGCTATCGGTACATCACATTTCCGATCTGTCATCAAAGTAAATCAACACAGCATCTCGCCAAGTAACGGCTCCGGAGGTTTTTCACCAATTTTGTTTTTACATTAGAAGTATATCATTTGATATTCTTAATACCACGATAGCATGACAGGAATCCATGTTCACCTATTTGACAGACTCCAGTTCCCCATACACCTCCATATTAAAATATTCATCGTCTTATGCTTAATAATCGGTAAATCTGAGTAGCTTACGCGACGGCAACACCACAACAAAGACTAGATAAACATCACATGATCACATATAAATTCCAATATTGATCCTTCAAAATCAGAATTCCTCAACCTTACTTCTAATGATAAATTTCATCATTTATTCAGAAGTCTAATGTATCTTGGCCAACAGTGCGTATGGTATAAAAGTTACTATGAAAATAAATTGCTGAATAAAAAAATAGTTGGTTGAGAGGTGGAATCCTGTCCCTGAGGACGTGTGAAACAGATGATAAAATCAAAACTGCCATGGTTAATTTATAATAGATCAATTAAAGCCGTTATTACAAATCATTTACACTCCAATCCAGATCTACTCCCACTAATGGTATTAAATGATGAGTTTCCATAGGGCAGCACCCTTGTAGAGTGCACAAATTAATAATTCAATCCTGATGAAGAGACAATTTTTCCTGGATAACATGAACTTAATTGGTGGTTTTTTGAGCCAGGTCCCAGTAAATCCCAGTAATGTTCTGGTGTTATAGAATCTATCCAAAGAGTGGGGGAATTCTTACAGTGCTGACTTAGATCTGACGTTCTACCAACACAAACGAGGCGGGCATGCAGGGACTGGGGAGGGGCTGTTCTTAGAGCAGGGGAAATCTAAATGAAAGTTTTCAAGGCTATAGGTTGATCTAGGGGATGGGGAGGGAACACTGACAGAGAAAAGACGTTCTGGTGGAAGGGAATGCCTTCAGGGGGATGAGATACAGAGACAGATGACCAAGGCAATGAGATTCCATTATAAGGATGGTGTTCTTCATTTGGAGGTTCTAGAATGTGGAGAAAGAGGAAACTCTGAGCTTAAAGGATACTGGGATGGAAAGAACTTATTCTTGGGAACAGGATTTTAAACAGGGAAAAAGAGTTGTTTGTGGGGATATGGTACTTTCTGTGCAATAATTAGATTGCAAAGCTTTGAGTGAAGGGAACTAGAAAAGAGGAGGTGTCTGAATTGTGGGGAGGAGACACGAAATAATTACAAATGTGATGACAGGCCAATTCCATAGCACCCATAAGGCTTGACTCTATAATCCTGACTAATCACCCGGCTGATTTTATAGTAGGAGTACAGTACATTGATGGACTCAATTGACTTTCATTAATCAATGACATTGACTCAGTGTTTTGTATAGCTGCATTTACTCTGTTGTTGATACTTAATCAATACAATTTACAAAATAAACCTTGATTCCAGAATTGTAATTGCTCAATTAACCCTAACAAATCAATGAAATTCACAATGATAGCCATTCTTTTCACGTGAATCCACATTTATTCATCAATATCAGCTGAACAAAATCTATCTAGTTTAGCTCCCCAAGTGGTATGATTACTAGAATATCAAGCAACAATCCGACCATACACAGCTTGACATATAACTGGTTCTGAGACGCCCTGAAGCTTGTGACGTCGTCACCCAATAAATATTCATGCCTTCCCGACCATCATTGTAACGCTACAATTAAGCATCTTGTTTTATATTGTACCAGTAGCGACTGATACTGCACATTAAACTAAGACATCCGTTACCCTTGTCAAAGGTCGGCTGTCAGCCAGACTCCAGTCTACCAGGGTAGGCTTTGTTGCCCCCCTATCACCATTCCTCAAACCTCTCACCAATGTGGCAAAAGTTGATTAAAAATCAAATGTCTATATAGGCACCTGAACAGTATCACAGACAGCAGGAGTGATTAATATTTAACACAATTCATAATTACTCATCATCAAGAAAATACATTTTCATTCACTGTGTATAATAACTTGATGATTGACCTAGCTAATTAATTACTCTCCCCGACACTAGTATTGTAGCACTATGTTACAGCAGAATGACTAATCACCTACTGAGGCTGTTTGTATTAAGGATAAGACAATCCACAGTACAAATATATCCAAGGGAAAGAACTCTGTTATAGCAAAATAGTCTTTTTCTGTCCAAATTAAGATATTGACATTTGTCAGTGGGGTTTTTTTTGCCTTTCTTTAGAGATGAAAACAGGCTGCTTCCCCTAGCGAAAAATGCTTTATTTTCTTAAATGAAGAAAAAAATGAGGAGTATTTCCAAATTTCAATAAAAAAAAATGCTTGAATTCCCCAATTCATGTAGAAACAGGCTGTTGTAAAATTTATGTAGAAAAACTCTCGTATTAAAAAACAAGTGTAAAATTCTGAATAAAAATTTGGATTGTTTCATTTCAACTTAAATCACAGAAAAACTAACTATTAATGTATATTTATCAGATGAGATAACATCAGATGTATGTATGTGACACTAGTGGGTGGTTGTACCTGCCAGTCCGCCCCTCAGTCAGTGCTAGTCCACCCTAGCTAGATCTCATCAGATACCACTGCCACGGGAGGAAATTATACGGCAACATTCACATCATTATGTTTGTGAAAGTTGTTCTCAAGTTTACTAATTTATTGACAGTGAAAGTTCAAATTCAGTATTTTTTCCAATTATCAGTGCATGATATCTGTGTATATCTTAAGATTTGACAGCCGTATCTGACACGGCAATCACTTCCTCGGAAAGATTAGCTCATTGTCAAAGACCAACCCTTTCTGCCAGCTCTTGTCATGAGTTCATGCCATTAGCAAACTTTTGACCTCGTGTTTAATTCAAGTTTAACTGCAAATAATAGAGAACTTGTACAATTAGATCCCAATCAGTTTAATGAAAGTTGATAAACATCTTGTTTACAATGTTTTAGAAATTCTCCATTCATTGAAACCCACACCTCCTGACCTAACTTAATGACAGACTCCAAAGAGGTATTTCAATTAATCAAAACATTCTGATCACTTGAGCTGAAAATGCATTAATCGGTAATTGTGTTGTTAAAGATCGGGGGGATAAGATTGAGGAGAAGTTTCGGTAAAGTATGGACACAGTGTTAATGTGTGACACGGTTATTCATCATCATCTACGCAAGGAACGGGTGAACAGGTACACGAACACAAGCCCAGGACCAATTAAACACCAATATATTTGATATCAACCATTACAATTTTAAATATACATGCATTCAGGAAATGTATACCAATTTTTTTTTAAGTGTTTTAATTTTCTATTTATTTCCTTTAATTATTTATAAAAACTTTGTCCATGTATATCTACTAAAGTAATTCATTTAATTTATATATGGATTCGGAAATCCGTGCCACACAAACCGGGTGGTCTTGGACAACTGGCTTAGGTGTAATTGAGAATATCCTGTACAGCGCTGATTCCAATCCCCTTCACATTCTTCATGTAACTACTTAGTGTGTCATATTTGATCATCAGTGATTAAAGTCTTGATACTTAAAGTAATGATTTACACTTATTAAAGCCGAGACAAAGCTTGACATACCTCACTGCAGACAAATAGTGAAGGTCGATCTGGTCAAACTTGGCATATTAGTGAAATGTTTTGTCCCAGATTACTGTACTTTTTTTTTTTTTTTATCTCTATAACATGTGGTACCGATATTTGAAAGTTTTTAATCTATTTTGAATTTTTGTCATAAAGTGACAAGTATAGTATTTACCTATAACAGTTAAATGCCAGTTTCTGAGCAGGCTTGATCCAAATATACATACCGATACTTGATATACAGCGATTAACTTTATCAAAATAAATTAACCATGTCAGTTAAAGCAGAGAGAATATAAAGTTAAATAAACAAAACAAGGCACTTTCCAATCAGCCACTGGACCCCGTCTCCCATGGCGGCATGTTTGCTTTTCAGCAGCTTAAGTTATTAAGTCCCTCGGGGCCAATGATAACAGACCAGGAGGGGACACACTGTATCACAATGTCAGCCCAGAGGAGATTTACTATGGTAAGCCGACCAGAATTGAAATAATATTTCTCCACATCTCAACATGTTTTCAAACATCCTTGGAGTAAGTCTTGTAAATGTCTTCAACATCCAGGGTTGGATTGCACATTTTGGA